TCGTGTTAATTTATATAATTATTTACTTAGTTTCATTGCGGGAAAGTGAACCAACTCCAGCGTAAGGCTAAAAGCAGCCTAATGTTTTTAATATGATTTATATATTTGTGTTTAACATAATAGAAACATTGTAAGTTACTAATTATAATGCTTAACATTTCCTCCGTTAACAAGCAAAGAACATTATATTACCAAATAACATCATCACAAGCTCAGTCTAGCGCATTATGCACTTTAAAAACACTCCCATTAAAATCAGTTAATATACACTGTATGATGAATAAATCTCTTATACTTACATCGCACGTACTTCTGCACTTCGTTGTTTATGATGAGAGAATTCGCGACTCAGAATTCAGTCAGCGCGCGCTGAACAACAGAACTCCGCTGTTTCAGTGATGACTCCTCTGAACGCCTCTGATTGGCCATTGCATTCATAAGCTCAACATAATTGTGTGTGATTGGTTAAAACGTGCAATACTATTATATTTCTAGAAAAAGAAATATAATGCAACTAATAAGCCCTAATATTAATTAGATGGTATTACTAGCCTGATAATAATAATAATAATAATAATAATAATCGTCTTGCTATCGTCAAAGGCATCAGCCACAGGCGATATCTCTGATCATCGTCGATACACGATACTACCGTCTATCGGCACAACCCATTTTGTGTGCATACTAGAATAATAATAAATAATAATATATTGTACAAAATGTTACATATTCAATTGGCTCTTTCTCCTCTCTCTATATTACAGTATTATGTTACAGTACATTATTATTATTATTATTATCATCATCATCATCATCTTTCTAGAAAAACCTGCTATGGTCGGACCAGGTTGTTTGTTTTTCTTGCAAGATCTGCCAGCATTGTAATGCTTAGATGTAATGTATAGCAGCAATTCTTTTTATACTCTGGTTTTATACTCTGCTTGTCAAAAATGAGTTAAGCTTCCTTTAATGCCTTAAGGAGATGACTAAAGTATTAGTCAATATTATGTATAAACTGAAAGTGCTTTAGCCACATACATTAGCGCCGCACTCTATGACTACGACGACAAACTCAGTCAGATTATCAAAGACCAAATCCTCTCTCGCACCTTTTTAAAATTCATGAGATCATGGCTGTTTAACTTTGATTTGATGACTCATAAAATGTTTGTGAATGTATATCTTATTCTGTGTACAAAGCACTATTGAAAAAGTGATCTGTTCCCTCTTTTTTTAATCCAGATATACAGTGGATCTGTTCAAACAGAAAGTCTCACCGCTGATATTTGGTGTTTTTGAGGATTAGTGGCAGTATTTTGCTGATACTCTTTAAGGATGCGCAGTATACCTTTCCCTATCAGTTACTGGCAGATGTTGGATTTTTACATTTATATGACCTTTGCCATCATTTAAAGCCGACTTTAAATGAATTTTACAAACACTAATAATTAAATAACACTGTTTAATATAATCTTTAGCAGTTCTCTTAATGAATATCCATGACTATCATACCATATTACCATGTTTTCAACTTCACTTGAAACAGTTAGAAAGTTCACTTGAAACACTTAAAGATTGATTTTAGTTTTTAGTGCATTTTTTAAAATTTACTGTACAATATATTGTACAGAATTTTGGCCGTTTATCACTTCCCAGGCATAACATAAAATAATTATTGACTTATTGGCATTGCTAATACTATTTATCCTATTGAGGAAGTGTTAAACTATGGAGCCTATCCATTTGTTATAATGATACTTCAAATCATACATTGATTGATTTAGCTTTGACCATTGTGCCTTAATGCCATTTCTAAATATAAAAGCTCCTAATGATTATTCATCCATCTTTCATTCTTTTGAAATGTGACTCAAAGCGTATTATTTCCTCTCTCTGCCTCCTTACTTTTTGAGCTTTCTGAAAGGCCCTTAATTGTTTTGTTTGACACAGAATTGATGGCAATAACATTCTGAATTCCTGATAACATGAAAGCCTTTCACTGTTCTACGGCAGCACATGCATCATTACTCTCATTAAACTATTCATTCCAAACCAGTGTAATCCTGAGGGTACTAGCATTTAGTTTGCTGTTGTTTCGTCTGTGTGGACTCTGCGAGAAGATATGAATGTTCTCCAGTCTTCATTATGAATGACTTTGCATTTCTGCTCTCTAATTATAGACTTTTGTTCATCACCACGCATCCATTGTCTCATTGTCTTATGTTTATCTGCCATGTGAATTCAGAGAGAAAACATGATAGAGAGATTATTTATTGAAGATAATTTAATGTTTTACAGTACTTATGAAATATCCATGTTGTCTCATCAGATACAGTGTTTAAAGGCAAAGGTACAGTATCTCCAGCAATATAGTAACGTGTACATCAGATAGCCAAAATAGATTTATTGTATTTTACAAACTTTTTCTTCAGTGTGTGTTGGTGATGCCTGTTATTCATTACATGGAGTGTTTGAGGGTTTTTTTTTTCTTCATGTACACATGAATATGTAGGCTAGTTATAAACTGAAACACTGGAGAAACACTTAAGGTCTTTCTCAATTTCTTCCTCTCCAGTCAAAATGTTTCACGCAACCATTTGAGGGAATATATTGTTGTTCCTATGTCCTCAATATAACTTTCCATCCTGTTAGTCTTTCATAGAAAATAAATAATTTTGAAAAACAGTTCCTGAAGGACATCATACTTCAGTAAGTGACATCAATTTTGATGAGAAAATCAATAAGTATTAGTAATGGGTTGATCAGTTTTGTGATGTGTGATTATAAGTTGGTTTGTCTCTAAAATATTCCACAAAAATAAATAAATAAAAAGCCACCCAGATTTACTAATAGCTTGTGCCAGCACAAACCCTCTTTTGACATTTAAAAACTACGACAGGATTTACTAAAGACATGCAGTGACAAATTAGCCATGTAAAGGCGTGGATGCAGTTATTTTGCAGCTGACCTTAATGCATATGCATTTGTAGGAGTTTCTATTTCAAACGCGAAATGTATGGGAGGAGAGTATTTAAATAAATCTTGCAAAGTGTTTTACTAAGGTTTGCGGTAGTCAGTTCGCTGGTATTATTTAATGCCCCAAAAAGCATGTCTTAATCCATTTTGTGCTTGACATGGCTGCAATAGTTGCTAATTTGCATTGCTCTTGGTAGATAATGTTGGTCGTTATTGGAAATGATCTGGCTGTGTTCACATTCTACATTGTCAGTAGATCATCAGCGCTTTCATGGGATTGTGGTCTTTGCTAATTTGCCCCGTTTAGTAAATCTGGTCCTTAGTTTTTTGGAAGTCAATGGTCACCAAAATGAATTGGTGGCCAGCATTCAAAATATCTTCTCTTGTCTTCCACAGAAGAAAGACATTTTGAAACAACACAAGGGTGTATAAATGATGACAGAATTATGATTGGGTGAAATATCCCTTTTAGTGCCTATGATTCACCAAATCGTATTTCTGAAAATATTGTATACTGTTTTATAGAAATACTTTCTTAAATTACAACACAGCCATATTTTTGCAGAATTTACTGCATAGCAGGAATGACCCATGTGTATTTTTTTGTGCTGTTTCTTTGACCTGCCTAAATCCTTTTCCCAAATGAATCCTGTGGATTACCAACATGTTCAGCCACGTGTGCTGTGCATGCAGTTGGGCTAAATGTGCTGTACCCCAGTAGAGCAGATCCTCAGAACCTGCGTGCTTTCACCGAACCTCCGTTTCTCACAAATATCATCACACGCCTCAGTGCTCTTCTCTGCTTGGTGAAATAAAGGTGCGATTTTGTGCTAAACAAGGCAACATGGGTTAGGGCTGTGACTTCAACAAAAACAGAAAGGGAGAGCGAGAGAGACGGGAGGGAGGGGTGAGTGAGAAATTCAAGCACTGTTTAGTCCATTAGCATCTGTTATGTTGCTGTGCACACATACACACGCTCAAGCACACATTCGTGCACGGAGAGCAGCTGTGTGTGATTTGGAGCTGTCCTTCAGCACCACAACACAATTGAACTCTCATATGGAGGGGTAGAGACAGACACAGAGAAAAACGCTCGGAAACTTTCGCTCACTGTAGACTCCTGCGCGGGTCTCTGAGAAAAGAGCCTGTAAGTATGTTGATTTACTTTCAACTTCATTGATTTTAAATTAAATTAAATTAAATTATTCAGTGGAAGGAGAATTAAAGTGTTTTATTGTGCATTGAATGTTTCAGTGTTTTATATGTCGCATAATATAATGTTTGTATTTTTTTATGAAGTTTTTGTTTTGTTTGAGGTGTGAGGGTTTTGTTTTTATAGAGGATATTTAATAGACTTGGTTAAAAGCTTTTTATTCCTTCTTGGGTTGCCTCCTCATGTTTCATTGACTATTACTTCAAAGGAAGACTTTCTTGATGATTCAAACCTGTCGTGAGCTCTTTATCGGACTATAATGTCAATGTTTCAGTTCTATAGCTTGAATGTCTTTCTTACGTTCCCTAAAGGTCAAACATAGTGAAAGAGCAGGAGCGTTAAGTGGGTTAAACCACTGAATAATTCATGAACATTTTCACTGTTTTGGTCTAGTGTGAGCAAACCTTCCTCACGCAGTTTGAGTCCTGGGAATGGATGGTGAATTCACTGGACCCATCTCATTAAATACGATTTCTCCAACATATCGGACTATATCCATCCTCTCTACCACTTTACGGCTTGCACAGCTGTGCGCATGTTGATGCATCTCTCTGCTATTTAGTGTTTATGCATTTGTAACGCTCACACTTGACAGACCTCAAACCGAGAATCCTATGCTTTCTCCCAATGCTCTAAACCACACATCTTTATATGTCCCTCTCTTTCTGTCTGACTTTTCTTCCCACCATCTCCATCGATATTACCGATCCACCCTGAGGCTGTAGGTGTTTGAGGGCTGAGGATGTTCCTTGTTGTTTATCTCTTCTCAGCAAGACTGCATGTGTAATGTTGTTTTTTGTGTTTCCAACAGAGTACAGTCGATTTGAAGCCAAAATCCATGATCTACGGGAGCAGATGATGAACAGTAGTATTAGTTCAGGCTCTGGCTCATTGCGGACTAGTCAGAAGAGGACCCTGTATGTCAGGTGAGCTTACCCTAATCACCAGTAGTTACATTTGATCTTCCAAACATGCTTAGATCCTTAATCCTCAGAGATCAACACAGGAATGTGGCACTTCAGAATATGTAGTACATTCAGCGCTTCATAGTGTATTCTATTATAGTAGAGTTTATTGTTGTTGTTATTATTATTATTATTATTTTAAATAGTTTAAATATTAAATAATAAATTCTGTTTATGTTATATAATTTTATATATATAAAGCAATAGATGATCAGGATTGCTGTGTGAAACTGCTCCTGAAGTTTTGCTCTTATTTGGCTTTTGTTTGACTTTATTCTTTAGCTCTCAGGTTGCTGCTCTTATGTTTTAATAAGAATAGCTTTGACATTTTGAGGATTTGAAAGCCCCTGGGCACTGGATTCTCTACACATGCATGCGTGTGTTCACTGATTTAAAACCTAATGTGATTTTTCAGCTGTGTAGGTCACATTCAGCTCAACCCATAATATATGCATATTGTCCCTGCATATAATTATGTATGCGTTCTGAAAAATATCAGTCAAATTGGTCATCATAAGAACAATTACATTATTTTAATTGACAGGAAATCTAATCTAAATTGAACTGAAAGACATAAAACAGAACATTTAACATAGTAAGTGGATGTAATGAATGATTAATGGAAACAAACTGATGGAAAAGAAATGTCCCTAAAGTGAATGTTGCAGTGAGGCTGTTTGCTCAAGTTTGGTTTATTGCATACTTTTACATTTTAGGGTGTAGTTTGTGGTTGTTTCTGAAAGATTTATACTAACACAAGCTGTTGTGGCAATGTTATCATAGCTTTTGATTTTAGTTTTGATGGACACTTAAAATGACGCAAGGATGCAGGTAGAACTGCAGTCATCTTTGGCTTTATATATCCCGCGGCATGTTTGTGACACAGAGTCAAGGTTTACTAGGCCACTGGTGACATGTAGAGTCAGTGATGTTTTTTGACTTTACATTTCCTTTTACCTTGTGCTAAGAAATTGTGTAATTAGGCCTTTTCCATGACTCATGGAACATTTATCAGTGATATTTTCTAGTAAGTGCCTAGTCAATGCATTTAAAAATGTTTAGTTGTTCCACTGGCTGTCATAGCACAAATATAATTTTGACCTTTCTGAAAGAGACACCAGTTTTATGATCTGATATTACATTAAAACCTTATATCTACACAGATTGAGCTTTTAATCTTCGTTCTGCAAGCCCTTTACGTTAATGACTTAATGTCTCTGCTTCATCTGTGCAAGGATACAAATGTAGCCTATTGCACCTCTAAGCAGATTAAGACTGCACAGAAATCATCTGCACCATTTCCTGAAGAGTTAAATAAGGGTTCTTTATGTGCTTGTGAGGGTTAAAGAAGGCTTTGGTATCTGTATGTTCATTATAGCCCCATAAGCTTCTCAGATGCCCTGGCTTCCTCCTGGAAGTGCTTCATTATTGATGAGGAAACAGAGATATGCTAGTCAAGAGTTTGGACAGCTAGTTACTTCAGCTCCAGTTCTCTTAAATGCACATGCACAGAACAGCAGTGGCCTACTTAACGTCTCAGGAAATCTGTCTGTGGGCAAATGAGTTAGGAAGACTGGCTTTGTAAGATGAAAAAAAAATTACTTTGGCATAAGAGAATGGTTTCAATGTCTTTATAGTATTTTAATATTCATAGAATCCCATGTGTGCACAGTCTAGAGGCTTTTCTTGCTGTTGCATCTGATTTATTCAGCTTTTTTTAAAGAAAAGGTTTCATTCTCCCCCTGAAAATCATAATTTTGTTTGACATGCCCCATTTTTACTTTCCCTTTGACCTTTAAAATAAAGGCTGTTCCCTTCATTCTGAATGAGTCAGCTCTCAAAGGAGCTTCTTGTGCGGGTGTTGCGGCGCGACAGCGGGTTGGTCGACCTTCGTTGAGTGGGTGCAAACTACAGGCTGCACTACCCCCTGTAGTGTTGCGGCGGCCATCTCCCCTGTGTGCTTCAGCACAACTAAAAGAGCAATCCTAAAAGAGCATTCACAGGTGAACGTCTTTTTAAAGACGCATCTTTTTAAAGATGGCATTTCACCCGTGCTTTTCTGGATGCGGTCGTTACCTGGCGCCGGGTGATGGTCACGATCGCTGCCTCACGTGCCTGGGCATTAAGCATGCTGGAGTGGCGTTCGTGGATGAGTCATGTTCCCATTGCAGGAAGATGACCATCTCGGAGTTGTGGACCAGGATCCACTACCTCAAAAGGGGTGGAGTTCCGGTGCCTCTGCCACGATCTAGTTCTCTTCCTTGCAGAAGTCAGGGGAGGACTACTTCTGGCTGTAGCTTGGGCAGTTTGAGGATCACAGTGGCGCCAAACCCACCGAGGAACCTCCCAGGGACCGCCACTCCTCTTGCACTTCGCAGCCAGCCGAGCTCCCGAAGTAACGTGCTGGGCCGTCTACAAAGAGCGTACCAGCTGTATCCTTTGGGGCTCCTCCCGACGATCGGATGTCGATCGCTGCATCGGAGGGCGAGCCTGAGCTCTCTGGAAAGGAAGATTTGGCTGCGCTGCCGCCCTCCGGGACCTTAGTAAAGCCTGAATCGGATCCGGAGATGATGGCGATGCTTTCCCGGGCTGCCGAGAGGGTAGGGCTCGAGTGGAAACCTCCACCGTGTCCCGAGCCCTCAAGGTTGGATGACTGGTTTCTCGGGGTGGCCCGCACTGGTTCTCAGCGCCCCACTCCGGTGCCATTCTTCCTGGAGGTGCATGAAGTGTTCACTAGGTCGTGGATGGCACCTTTTACTGCCACAAACCGGCCTAGTGGTTCCTCCTCCCTTACCGCCCTCGATGGTGGAGCAGCCAAGGGGTATACAGAGATCCCCCGGGTGGAGCGGTCGGTAGCGATGTAGTTGTGTCCTGGTACCACTTCCACCTGACGGGGCAAACCGGCCCTTCCCTCCCGGGCCTGTAAGCACTCGTCTGGTCTGACCGGCAGTGCTTGTGCGGCTTGTGGAGAGGCTGCCTCCGCCCTGCACGCCATAGCGTTACTGCAGGTCCACCAGGCTCAGGCACTGAAGGACCGGCACGAGGGTGCTCACGATCCGGAAGTTCTGAAAGAACTCCGAACCGCAACTGACCTCGCGCTCCGAGCGAGTTCTCTGGGTCGTGCGATGTCCACGCTTGTGGTCCAGGAGCTCTATCTCTGGCTGTGTCTGGCCGACATCAGGGACACCGACAAAGTTTGGTTCCTTAATGCCCGTGTCCCAGACTGGCCTCTTCGGCGACGCAGTCGAGAGCTTCGCCCAGCAGTCCTCAGCTGCACAGAAGCAGACTGAGGCGATTCGACATATCCTGCCCCGGCGGGCAGCTGCTGCCTCCACCCATCCGCAGCACCTCAGCCTGCTCGTCGCCGAGGGCGTCCCCCTGTGACAGCCCCCGCTCCCATACCACAGAAGCGTCCAGCTAAGCAGCGCCGTGGAGCTGGTCGCAGGGCATCCGTCCCACCTGTCTCAGCCCTCGCCAAACCTGGCGGCAAGCGGAAGAGTAAGAGGCCCTGAGACGGGAGACCCAGAGATGGAGGGATTTGCTCTTCGGGAGATGGTGAACACACCACTCCCTCCCCCGGAGGAGGGCCGGGCGGAGAATCTTTTGTTTCCTTTTTTTCCGCCAAATACTCGACAAAAGAGCAATTTCTTCTATCTCTGGGTCGCCCAAACACTCAACAAAAGAGCAATTTCCTCTATTTCTGGGTCTCAAGAGGGCACGGAGAGTTGTGGACAGATCAGAGCCGGATCACACTCATCCTCCTCTGTCGCCAGTGAGCAGCAGCGGGTGGTTCGAGAGCATCATCAAAGGCCCTACTCACGCACCCTCTGCCCAACCTTGGAACCAGGTAAGTGTTGCACCGCACACTTAGACCCCGCTTCGGTCGGTCCACGAGTTGCCCGAGCCAGGTCCCTGCGTTCCACCTCGCTGCCCCATTGCGGGTACGTCGGTGGTTCTGCTGGTCCTACTTGTACGGTATCTGGAAGCCTGGCTAGCGCTGTCCAGCCCGTCTTGCTGGCTCCTTCGGACCATCAGACTCTGCTACAAGATTCAGTTCGCCCGGCGTCCCCCCAAGTTCAGGGGCATCCACTTCACATCAGTGAAGGCAGCCGATGCTCCTGTCTGCTTGCGGAGATCGCAGTCCTACTGGCGAAGGATGCGATAGAGCCGGTCCCTCCAGCCGATATGAAGACGGGGTTTTACAGCCCCTACTTCATTGTACCCAAGAAAGGCGGTGGGTTACGACCGATCTTGGACCTGCGTGTCTTGAACCAGGCCCTTCACAGGCTACCGTTCAAGATGTTAACGCAGAAATGCATCTTCGGGTGCATCCGTCCCCGAGTTTGGTTTGTAGCGATTTCTCAGACCTTTTGTGCGGTTCGTGTTCGAGGGACGGGCATATCAGTACAAGGTCCTGCCTTTCTGGCTGTCCCTGTCCCCACGTGTCTTCACCAAAGTTGCGGAAGGGGCTCTTGTTCCCCTGAGAGAGCAGGGTGTTCGCATCCTCAACTATCTCGACGACTGGCTCATACTAGCACAGTCTCGGGATCAGTTCCAGAGGAACGTGCTCAGTCAGTGTTGAGCTACTTGAATTCGTTCAAAGGCAGGACGGCAGTGCCACTGAAACAATTTCAGAGGCTCCTGGGGCATATGGCAGCTGCTGTGGCAGTTACGCCGCTGGGGCTGCTTCATATGAGACCGCTTCAGCACTGGCTCATGGCCGAGTCCCGAGGTGGGCATGGCACTCACCGGGTCCAAGTCACACCGGCCTGCCGCCAAACGTTCACCCCGTGGTCAGACCTTATGTTTCTTCGGGCAGGAGTGCCCCTAGAACAGGTCTCGAGGCATGCTGTGGTACACACGGATGCTTCCACCACCGGCTGGGGGGCCATGTACAACGGACAAACAGGCTCGGGGGGGTGGACGGGCTCCCAACTGCAACAAGGTGGTCTGCGCTCCCGTCGCATGTCGCAACTCGCCCGCCACCTCCTCCTCTGCAGTCAGAAGCATCTGAGGTCACTTCGTGCCGTTCACATTCCGGGCCTGAACAACAGTGCAGCCAACGAGCTGTCACGAGCTACGCTCCCCAGAGAATGGAGACTCCATCCCTGGACGGTCCAGCTGATTTGGAGACGTTTCGGAGTCGCTCAGGTAGACCTGTTTGCCTCTCCAGAGCCCTCTCACTGCCAGCTGTTCTACTCCTTGACCGAGGCCCTCCTCAGCATGAACACACTGGCACACAGCTGTTGCACACAGACTCTGTGCAAGATCAGGAAGGATAAGGAGCAGGTCCTGTAGGTGACCTACCCCAAGAGTTAGTTGACACCATCACTTCGGCGAGAGCACAGTCTACGAGACACGCTTACGCCTTGAAGTGGAACCTGTTCGTCGAGTGGTGTTCCTCTCATCAAGAGGACCACCGAAGATGTCTGATCAGAGTCGGGCTCTTCTTCTTGCAGCAAGGGTTGGAGCGAAGGCTGTCTCCCTCCACCCTTAAAGTTTACGTCGCTGCTATTTCAGCTAACCACAACCCCATAGAGGGGAGAACGGTGGGGAAGCACGACCTGGTCTTCAGGTTCCTCAGGGGGGCGAGAAGGCTGGACCCTTCTCGACCTCCCTCCATACCTTCTTGGGACCTGTGTCTGGTGCTAGAAGCACTACAGCGAGTCCCATTTGAGCCTTTGCAATCAGTTGTGCTGAAGTTTCTTTCAATGAAGACTCTGCTCCTGATTGCATTGGCCTCCATCAAGAGGGTAGGGGACCTGCATGCATTTTCGGTCGACGATTCGTGCCTAGAGTTTGGGCCGGCTGACTCCCAGGTAATCCTGAGGCTCCGGCCCGGCTATGTGCCCAAGGTTCCTACTACCCTCTTCAGGGATCAGGTAGTGAACCTGCAAGCGCTGCCCCTGGAGGAGGCAGACCCAGCCCT